CGCCGCAGCCAACCTGCCAGCGGGGCAGAGGCGCCTGTGGGGCGGGCTGGGCACGCAGGGCCGCCCCTCCGCCGGCAGCGAGGCCCTGCCGCGAGCCTGCCTCGGGCTTCTTCAGTGCCTGAGGTGGAGGCCGCCCTCCGCCTGTCGCCATCCGATCTGCGCCCTCCATCTGTGGCCGCCCCGTGGCACGGGACACCTGCCTCAACAAAGTCTGGCTGTTGCAGCCCCCGTCAGCGCGGGGGGGGTGACACCGGGCCGAGGGACAGCAGCGTCCGGGGCTGTCCTGCCTATGGATGGGGCAGCCGCAGGCGGGCACCACCTCTGAGGGCCTCGGGAAGCAGCAAACGTGGGTGCGCTGTTTGGTGGCCCCCTCGAGATAGCCTGGACTGTCACACTGCTCAATTTCATCCGTTCAGCTCTGCAATCATGTGATTTCTCCCTGGTTTCACCCCCCTTTTCCCAGGCAGACCTTTGAGGTGTTGATGGGGCTGCCGTCCAGCCTTTGGGGACAATGGTCAGAAGTGGAGGTGTGAGGAAGAGGAAGGCCCGGGACTTCAGCGAGCCTTTGTTAGGCCACAGGAGAGTCCAGCCAAGGAACCTCAGTGCCATCCTTGGGCTAATTCTTGGCTTCTCAAACTGAGGCTGATAAGTAAATAAATATGGCCAAGTGCTTCACAGGGTAGAAACTGCTGCTTGAAAAATTTGGAATTACAAAACACTAAGAAGTAATGCAGAAAGTGGCAAGTTTTCCTATTCAAATTATTTATTTTTTAATACAAAATACTAGGAATCGGCACCGTTACGAATCTCTTCAGTGTTTCACGCTCAAAAAAAAAAAAGACCTTTATTAAGAGTTAAAACAGTTTTTCACTACAAGACTTTAAAATTACTTTTTTATAACTCAATAGATCAGGTACTTCTGCATATCCATCATCAGGGTTATCTGAGTAACAGGATTGCAGGCAGGACCACTCAGGATGTAACTGAAGAAGCAGCTTTGACTGCTGGTTTATAATTGCTGGTGATGGTGTGCAAGAAGGAAAGAACTCAGATTAGTTTCTCAGGCTGACAACTAGAAAAGTAACAGTATTTCTGAACAAAAACTTCTGACCCCCTCATAATGGTGAGATGAATTTTTTCCAGGCTGGAATCGCACACCCAAATGCATGCAGCCACAACAGATCTACAATGCAATCAAAAGTACAAGTGCAAGCCAAGAAGATGCCCAGAAATTAAATTAATCAGAAATTGGCACTTTGAAGATACTAGTTACAAAGACTAGTCTGGAAGAAATCCTGAGTATTTACTCGGGGAACTAAGTCTTGTACAGTCATTTCATTACTAGATATTGCTAAATCAAAGCCAGCTTTGTTCTGTCTACATTATGATTGCTTTTATACTGCATTTTTGCATCCTGATTGCCAAAGATAAGCCTAGTGACAAACAGCAGCAGTCCCCTTTCCTATGAAAACTGGAAAGCTTTAGGTTTTAAAAAAAAAAAAAAATCACTCGTATTCAAACATTTTGTGTTTTTTGGAGGGAACATTATTTTTTCACCTAGATTTAAAATGGGCAGAGTGCATATTTCCATGGAAAAGTGGTACCTTAATGACCCAGTCACCACATCAGCTCTGGGACTCTCAAAGGACAAGTAGTTCGACTCGGTCCTGTGGACAGCATGCGTATTATGAGTTCTTCAGGAGGGGCAGAACAAACTAGGCTTTTGATTTCCTGGGTACAGGACTGCATTTCACTCATAGATATTACTCAAACAGTTGAGTGAAGAGGTCAGGTGGTCTATGGGAAGTAAGAGGAGCACAACCCCTTCCACCTTTTGTGCAAAGCAAATTTGAAATCAGGTAAACTGCTTTGATCTTTTTCAGTTCCTAGCACTACAGGCTTCGTTCGCTGAGGCATCAAACTAATGAGAGGTAGTTCTTTATGTGTGTGCAAATGTAATAATAAAAAAAAATTCCCAAATAATTTTATAGACTGCTTAGCCACAGAAGATGTTCAGTGCTGCGTTGTTCAACCTGCTTTTGTCCTTAACAATAGGATGTCCTTAACAATCTCTATTATCAAACAAGCAAACAGTATTATATTCTACTTGCTTGGTAGATTTTTTTTTTTTACCTCTGTTTACTGTTTCAGAAAGCAGATGCTGGCTGCCAGTTGAAGTATTATTGTGGCAATTTTATCCCGTGGATAACTTAAATTTCATATAAGAGTCTGACAAGCAAATAGTATCCTTAAGTCATGGCTACTCCTAACCAGTGAGGACTGGATTTGGGGCAGCAACCTATACATGTGATCCTACTGCCAATCTCCTAAATAAATTGGTTCCCTGTGGGATTGGGATGCCTTGTGGAATGAGAATTCAGCTTTCCGATTCTTCTTTGTTTTGTGAATATTGAAGTGGTTTCACGATTTTAAAAAGAACTAACTCCACAGATCCTTCTGATTTGTTCATACGTAAGCCAGAATACCAGTGACCAAGGAGCCTGTGAAAGCAAACACTGAAGTTAGAGGCTTAAACCAGAAATGACCCAATAAATAAACCCATTAAACTGTCTCCTCTTAAAAATCATATTCTTAAGCTGAATCTCACATTATGTCTTTAATGTAAAAATCGTAGTGTTGCATATGGTTAGGGCTACCCAGTCCTTCACAAGACACCTAAAACTTTTTTTTTTTCAGCTTGCCAACCAATAAATGTTTGATCTGAAATGTTTCATACTTGGGGGCTACTTCAGGCTGAATGCTTTTTAAAAAAAAATTTAAAGGGTTTACTTGTTCTAAAACCTTATTCGGAAAATTACACGGTTCTCCTCTCTCTCTCCTTGCCAAGTGCAAGGTCCTGCACCTGGGTCGGGGCAACCCCCGGGATCAATATAGGCTGGGGGATGAAGGGATGGAGAGCAGCCCTGCCGAGAAGGACTTGGGGGTCCTGGTGGACGAAAAGCTGGACATGAGCCGGCAATGTGCGCTCGCAGCCCAGAAGGCCAATCGTATCCTGG